ATTGAAAGTTCTAATTTTCTTTAGAATATTACACCGAGTAGTTCTTTGATCTTGTTAATAAATAAATATATAAAATATTGCACTGATATGTTTAATATCCGAGAACCGGAAAAATCCACTGTCTCAACTATATGGAGTTTATGCTTAGCTTTCATATTTGTTTATGTAAATAAATATATGTCTGATGACGTATGGATCTAGTGTAATTGTATAATATTGTAATTTAATTTATATGCATGCTATTGTTTTGTTTTTCCAACCACCGAAACCGAACCACCTGTAGGAAATTATTTAATGTACTTGAAATAACATGTTTGGTTTGATTTTGAGAGGGCATTTTTTAAAAATTATTTTGGAGAGAAAGTTTAGAAATTTTTTGATTTGTTTGGTTGTATATTTTGAAAGTAGTTTTGGAATGTGGGAGTTTGGAATGATTTGATAGTTTGTTATAACTGAATAAATGTGTGTGAGAGAAAAAGTAATTGAGAATGAGAGATGAGAAAGAAAAAGTGATTGATTGATGTGTAAGAGAGAGAAAGTGATTTTAAAAATTGTTTTGGAAAAATTACAGACCAAACAAGTTTTTTAAAAAAAATTTCTCAAAATCACTCTACAAAGCCAAACCAATTATTATTCAATATACCTCCTCGTGTTCTTCAATCACCAACACAATACCCCACCTACCTACTTTTTCCACCAATCACAATGTTATGAAATACAACATGTTTATATTTCAAAATTACTGAATAATTACCCATGTAGCATATATAAAAACCGAAACAGTTATGCAGTGCATGATTAGGCATTAGCAAAGCTGAGAGTAGTCAGGTATAATAGCATCGTTTGCTAACACCTCTTAAAATTCACTCCAGTGAACTTCTGCGAACGTTCATAATGGTTGAGCGGTCCTCTCGGAACAGCATGAGTAGCAACATGATTGACCATAGAGGTCACAGCAACTGGATTGATTATATAGGTCACGATAGGAGTTGGCAAGCTAATTGACCTAGGGTTCAGATCCCCACCAACATTTGTAGCAGTAGTAGCAACATCAGTCACAGTTACCATTTTTTAAAAATACAACAGAATTTTACTATTCTGTGTTTCTAGAAATTAAACTTAACATTAGGAATCCCAAAGTTGAAAATTTAATTCAAAACTAGTCTCACCACTTATTCTAGAATCCAACATAGTCAGGAAAGTTTTCAAGAAGACTGGAAGGGTCACACTAATCCCACTTAAAACTTACTTAACCTTAGACAAAACCTTCAAAAGCATGTTGACTCTTAATCTATGGACACAAATTAAGAATTAAGTTTTTCAGGGAATAAACTAAGTTAAAACAAATTACATAACTTTCCAAGCAATTAAAAATTGCTAGAACAATTTATAAGCAAATAACTTTCCAAGCAATTAAAAATTGCTAGAACAATTTACAAGCAAATAAACTTGCTTCAAACAAAATTAGGTAATTTAAACTACAACTAGAACACAAGCAAAAAATTACTTCAAATATAAAGTAAATTAACCAATCCAAATTAGGATTCTTATGGTTGAAAAAAATCATTTCTACACTTAGGTATTTATGTTCAACAAAAAAAGTTAGTAGTTCAAATTTTTGATTTTTCAATCCCAAATTCTATTCATATGGTTTTGATTTTTTTTTTTTTTTTTTTTTCATTTCCTTTCACACAAGTTTTCCTGTAAAGAAAGTTAGCAAAAAACACAAAATAAATAATCCAAAGAAACTGTAAAAGCAATAAATTATTTGAAACCTTCTTAGCAAAAATAAAGAATTAAAATGCTAGACAAGTTGCAAAAAATTTATAGCTCCAAAAATTAAATTAAAATTAATAAGCAAGAGTTACATATGAAATTATTATACAATAAACATGTAAATAATTCTAGCAATTAACATGTAAAAAATTCTAGAGCAATTAACATGTAATTATTTTAACAATTAACATGTAAATAAATCTAGCGATTGACATGTAAATAATTCTAGAAATAAAATCCTACAAATAATTTTTGAAAATAATGAACATGTATATTATACTAGAAAAGTAAAAAATAACTACCATGTCAAATTTAACTAAAACATTTAAACTCTCATGAACATGAAAAGTATATTATAAAATTATAAAATAAAAAAACATGCAAATCATGGCAGGAAATTAGAAATGATGTTCATAAAACTAAAATTATACTAGAATCAAATAGCATACAAATGTCCTTTTTTACTTTGGTGATGATTCATAGGATTAACATTTTTTTTTTTTTCAAAAGTATACTAACAGAAGGAACAACACAGTAGTACCGATTATAAAACATATGAATTTATTTATCTAATTTTATGGGCAACATAGAATCTGTTTTAAGATTATTGTACAAATTGCATATTTAAATAATTATAAACATATTCATATAATTAGAATAAAATTATGGAACAAATAATTATGCACTAAAACATGTTGGAATTTACAACTTGATAAACATAATATATATATATATATATATATACCGAAATAATTTACTTAAATAAGACAAGAAAGGAAACCGAAACCAGTGTGATACCACAGTCTCCTTAAAACAAATTTGCCGCCTCACCAAGGGTGATGAAGGTATGTTGGCGTCTGTCTCTTATGATATGACGATTAGAACCCGCTAACGTAGAAACACCTTCTATTTAGCTCCGGCGAACTAACAATAACAACACTCTCTCATGCAAGAAGAATATACTAAGAACAAACTAACTATATAATATGAAAGTCAAAAATTCTATATAGAAAACCTAAGAAAGAATGTCTCATTTTATATCAAATGAGACACAATGAGAGAGAGACAGACAGAGAGAGAGAGAAAAAAGGAGGGGAGCGAAAAGAGATAAACGATTTTTCCTGCTTCTTTTCCTAACCAACATAACTCGTATTAACAGGAGTTATAGAGAAATGCATTCATACTCATAAAACACCATAAAATGCCTTCATACTCATCAAACACCATAGAATGGTTTCATACTCATCAAGCATTCATCCTTTCATACTCATCCTGCATTCATTCTTAGCATAATAAATCCTACCACCTCATTCAAGAGGCCAACATAATGAAACAATTTTCATTCAATTCTCAAACCAAAAAACCATTAGCAACCCAAAGACCAAACTGTTTATATATATATTAATATATATATATATATCTTAGTGGTTTAGATTTTGTAAGGTTACTAATCTGGTCAAAAGTTAAAGCCCCTTCACATTCCCTTTTTCTCACTGTACCCCAACCCAACCCAATTTCCCCAGGCTAGTCAATATAAGTTGTTAACCCCATCCCCTTTCTCTTCCCTTTCCCACCCTACCCTACCCCAACCCAAACCAATCCAATCCAACCCAACCCAACCCTATCCAATTTCCTTAATCTCTATCTCTCTCTCATATAATATAAATTATTTTTTTGATGTTATTAATAATTTTATTAAAAAAAATATATTAATAAAGTCTAATTTTAACAAATTAGTAACTTAGCTACAAAAAAAAATTATGGGCAATTTGAGTCTAACTTAAGTCAGGCTTGGACAGACTTGGGTAACTCTCAATACAACTTAGGCCCCATTTATTTTGGGAGATAGAGGGGAGATTAGAATTGAGATGAAGGTGGAATCCACTAATATTGTGTTTGTTTTCGAAAATGGAGAGGGGATTCATAATCCCCTCCAGATTAGGATGGACCTTGGGGAGGAGATTAGGATGGAGGTAGAGACTTGATATTAGAAACTAATCCGCTAGACTTTTTTTTTTTAATTTTATTTTTTACATGGCATGCATTTTTTTTTTAAACATTAATGCTTAATTTTTTATATTTTTTGTTAAGTAAAAATCATAATTTTATTTTTTTTAATTTTATTTTATTTTATTTTTTATTTTTTACATGTTAGGCATTTTTTTTAAAACGTTAATGTTTAATATTTTTATTTATTTTATACAAAAATAATTTAACAATTCCTAGCCCAACAACTATCATCAAAATAAACACAATTTTATTTAATCACCTCACTATCAATTCTCTCACTATAAATCTCTTCCATTCTACTTCTGAAAACAAACGGGTCTTTAGGTTGAACCTAAGCACCCTCTAAACCCAACCAAACCCGTCTGGATTGTACCCACAAGACGAACCATATTTAATTAGTTTAACCATTTTCATACACACCACAGGGTAGGGGTACTGGTAGTGGTAGCAGTAGCAGCTAGGCTAGGATCTTACCTATGCATAAAGATCATGCTCATGAAGAAAAACATACAACATGAGATGAAGGTGGAATCCACTAATATTGTGTTTGTTTTCGAAAATGGAGAGGGGATTCATAATCCCCTCCAGATTAGGATGGACCTTGGGGAGGAGATTAGGATGGAGGTAGAGACTTGATATTAGAAACTAATCCGCTAGACTTTTTTTTTTTAATTTTATTTTTTACATGGCATGCATTTTTTTTTTAAACATTAATGCTTAATTTTTTATATTTTTTGTTAAGTAAAAATCATAATTTTATTTTTTTTAATTTTATTTTATTTTATTTTTTATTTTTTACATGTTAGGCATTTTTTTTAAAACGTTAATGTTTAATATTTTTATTTATTTTATACAAAAATAATTTAACAATTCCTAGCCCAACAACTATCATCAAAATAAACACAATTTTATTTAATCACCTCACTATCAATTCTCTCACTATAAATCTCTTCCATTCTACTTCTGAAAACAAACGGGTCTTTAGGTTGAACCTAAGCACCCTCTAAACCCAACCAAACCCGTCTGGATTGTACCCACAAGATGAACCATATTTAATTAGTTTAACAATTGATAGTTGATTCAAATATAGGACAGGGGACACAATGCATCACAATTGAAAGCACATTTTCCTACACACCACAGGGTAGTGGTACTGGTACTGGTAGCAGTAGCAGCTAGGCTAGGATCTTACCTATGCATAAAGATCATGTTCATGAAGAAAAACATACAACATCACTAATACAAGAATTGATAGTTGATTCAAATGTAGGACAGGGGACACAATGCATTAACATTGAAAGCCTATTTTCATACACACCACAAGGTAGAAGTAATAGTAGTAGCTAGGCTAGGGTTTTCCCTATGCATAAAGATCATGTTCATGAACAAAAATATACAACATCATGTTCACGAAGAAAGTCTTTATAAGATTTATTATTAATTGCTGAGCTGAAGAAACCTGAGTGCCATGGGATGCTTGGCTTCAGATAGTTTGTTGGGTTTCAAGACTTCAACAATTTCACCATCCACAAGGAGGAACACAAGATCAGCTATCCTCTGTATTTGCTTTATGCTGTGTGAGACCATTACGATTGTCATTCCCCTACTCTTCTTCAGTTTTACCATACAATCCTCTATGTTTTGTGTTGATATTGGATCTAATGCACTTGTTGGCTCATCCAATAACAATACCTTCACATTTCATAGAGAGACAGAGAGAGAGGAGTGTGTTAAAAGTTAGAATGAAAATTAGTACATCGTTGATTTCGTTTTGGTCTCTGATCTTTAATTTGTATCAATCTTAGCACTAACTGATCATTTTTGGTGCCATAGTAGAGTAAGCATTTTAACATCACTAGTCTCACGTCAAACATTAAAAGGCACAAATGACATTTTACCATATCTATTCATACTAAATACTATCAATTGACCAGTCAAACACGCGATATTTTTGGCTCTCATTATGGAGTAAAAGGCTTTGATGTGTTATGTTTTGTAAATAATGTGCATTTCACGTGTCGTGTCGTTCATTTAGGTGGGAAATTGGGATAAATTCCTCTTATGCCTTCAAATGCCCGATGTAAACATTTTTTGTATGTTTTTAAATGGATTAAGTGGGGGACAAAATTAGATTAATGTGGGAAGTTTAGTGATGCAATTTATGCAAATTAAAGGTTAGGCACCAAAATGAAATTAATATACTTCATAGACTATTTGTGCAACTTATCCAAATTTCATTGTTAGAACCTGAATTGCAAATACTTTATAGGATTAATTACACTTTTGTCCCTATACTTTATGTCATTTGGTCCCCTAACATTTCAATTGTGTGAATTTCGTCTCCAAAGTATTAAATGCGTGTTAAAAGTAATCCCCATAATTGACATTTTCAATATCCATCATTAGAATCATAGATTAATCTCAATCTAAAAAAAGCTTTAAAATTTGACATAACTAAAAATATTACGAACCAAAACAACAACAAAAAAACACACGTTTTAAAGACCAAAAGCGTAATTATTTATTTTTTTATTGAGATGTAATTTTTTGTTTAAAAAAAAAAAATACTATTCAATGTATTTGGTTTTAGTTTTTTAAATATTGAGTTTTTTGTTTTTAGTGAATATTTTTAAAACCTTAAGCAATTTTTTTACTTTTCTAGATGCACCTTACTCAAATGTATCTAAATAGTAAAATATTTGTGAAAAAATATTTTAAAATTTTAATAAATACACAAAAATATGAAAAATGTACTAATTTTTTGTATTTTTTGGTATTTAGTGTATTTTTTGAAGATTTTTTTTACAAATATTATACTTTTTAAGTGTATTTATGTTAGGTTTGTTAAAAAAAATAAAATAAAATTGCTTAAAATATTAAAAAAAATTCATTGAAAATATTAAAATACGAAAAATAAAAAAGTAGAATTTTCTGAAAATTATTTTCTAAAAACCAGAACCAAACAAGCTGATCGTTTTTTTAATGATGTCTGTTGATAGTGTCAGTTGTACGGAGCACTTCAACATACCATTTTTTTATTTTGAGGATAAAACTGACACATTAAAAAATGTTTTGGGACTAAAATGACACAACACATCTTTTAGGAACCACAGGCGTAACGCAATTAATTTGAATGAAGAGGGCAATAATTACCTCAGGCTCGTTGGCTAGAGTCCTAGCAAGTGCGACTCTTTGAGCTTGACCAACAGATAATTCACGGGCATTTTTGTTAATGAAGGAGATGGGATCGAGGTCTGCAAGGGAGAGCAATTTGTGTATCTCATTGTCCATTAGCTTCTTCCCTCTCAATTGTGGCCCGTATCGAATGTTATCTGCCACTGTACCTGATATTCATTACCAGTAACAAAAAAACATTGTTTGAGACACCATATGCATGCAAAACACAATAATGAGTTCTTATTAGCTATGTTTGTGTACATACAAATTAAAAGAGACTACTAATTTCACCAAAATTCATCAGTCACCATATATTCCAGAGAATCGCAAACCAGTGCACCTTTTCATGTCTGTTTGGTCTGTTTGATATTGTTTTGTTTTACGTTTTTGTGTTTTTGAATACAAAAACAATAACAAGTTTGAAGATACCCTTTTTTTTTTGTCTTTCTACAGAAAAACAGTAATCCAAAATTCAGAAGAAAAAAATTTTTTGAAGTTTTCCCAAAAATTAGTCTAATTAATAAAATGATGCACCAGGAGACAGTTTTAATTCAGGAACAACTCCCTGTTTAATTGTGTACTCGTTTTCTGTTTTTTGTTTTCATTTTTTAAAAAACACAAACATGTATGGCAAAGTGTTTTAGAAAACTATTTTTGGGAAAATTTTCTGAAAACAGCCCACATTTCAGGAAACAAAAAAACAAAAAAAAATTACTTTCAAATTTTTTAAACTGTTTTTGCACACAAATGAAATCAATATGGAACAAATGGGTTTTTTTTTTTTTTGAAAAAAAAAAAAAAAATCCATGTGAATGGTTTTGTTTCCAAAAACACATAATAACAACAATAATAATAATAATAAGGTAAAACACATGAGAAAACAGACCCAAATTCTGAATTATGTTTTCTTCATTTCAAAACTAATATCAAATTTAAAATAAAATGAAGAAAAAGACACTGCACATTGAAGAACCCCCCCGAAAGTGAGAATATTGAGCTTAATGCGAAAACCAAAAGGAGATGCCCAAAACCAAGTTAAAAGCAAATTTGATTTTACATTGGTGGATGCATTAATTCAAAGGGAATATAAGCTACTGGTTCTTGTCCCAATTGCTTGTCATTTACTACTACTAATGAAACAAAAAAATCAAACAAATTTGACAAAGAAAAAGAATATAAAAGGTTGTTTTGGTAAAAGAGCAAACATATTCTGGAGCAAACAAAGTGCTTTGGAATCCTTATAAGCACAATCAAGCAAGTTGCTCAATGGGTTAAATAGTCATCAACCCTCCCCACTAAACATGGTTTTGTTGTACTTTTCTCTCTTTCGAGTCATTCAATGGATTAATTAGTCATCAACCCTCCCTAGTAAACATCTCTCTCTCTTTCTCAAGTTGCTCAATGGATTAACTAGTCATTAACCCTCCCTACTAAACATGGTACTGTTATAATTAATTCTATCACAAAGTTGCTCAATGGGTTAACTAGTCATCAATCCTCCCTACTAAACATGGTTTTTTTTCACTTTTCACTCTCTCACGTTGCTTGATGGATGCACTACTCATCAACCCTCCCCACTAAACATCTCTCTGTTGTGTTTGGTCAGATATCATTAGCATGTAGCCCGTAGTGTCAATCTTAATCTTATTCCCATTCCAAGTAATGTTTACAATTTACTTTTTATTAGTTTTTGTAAAAAAAAATATTTTTATGTTTATTTTTTGTATAAAACATACACAAAAGCATATATGATCAAAAAAAAGAATTGCCACTTGTCAGAGGAAGGCCGAAGGGGTGGACGGGTAGAAGAAAAATGAAAACTAGTTTTCAATATAATTTTTTTTTAAAAAAAAAAACTAGTCATCAATCCTCCCTACTAAACATGGCTTTGTTATACTTTTCTCTCTCAAGTTGCTCGATTGACACACTAGTCATCAACCCTCCCTATTAGTTTGGAAATTGATTTTTTTAGAATAGATTTTTTTTACGAAAAGACGGATAAAAAAGATAGAAAAGATGAGTAAATTTGTTTTAGTAACTTTTTAACTAAAATCTCATGTTTTCAAACCAGGAAATCTATTTCCCTCAAGTTGCTGAATCCCTCCCTATACTATACATGGTTTTGTTATACTTAGGCCTGATTTGGAAAGATTAATAAGTCCATACTTTTTACCTTTTTGTTTTTTTTAGTATATCAATCAATATCTTCTTTTTAATTTTTTACACATCTTTTATAAAAAATCAAAAAATATATTTATTTAACACATTCCAAACAATCCTTTAATTCTCTCTCTCCTCAAGTTGCTCACTTAATTAACTAGTCATCAACCCTCTCCAATAAACATAACTCTCTCTCTTGTGTATGGTCAGATATCATTAGCATGTATCTCATAGCATCCCATTCCAAGTAATGATTACAACTTACTATCATAATATTTTTTGTAAAAAATATTTTTTTGTTAGTTTTTTTGTATAAAACATAAACAACAACATATATTCAATTATTTTAAGTTATTTAACAAAACTAAAACTCATTTTTTTTTTCATTGTTTGTTTATCTTATTACCATTTCTGACGCTTGCAATATCTTCTAAAATTAATACATAAATACACATGGACAAAAAAAAATAATATAAAATAAAATAATAAATACCTTATGATGATGAGTTCCAAAATAGACACTTTAAAAACTGTTTTTTACCAAATAAAAAAGACAAGCCAAACGTGTCCTTACCTTCAAACAGAGCAGGAAGCTGGAAGAGCATGCCGACTTTACGGCGAAGAGAGAGAACATCAAGCTTACAAATATCTTGACCATCGAGGTACACCGTATGCGGTGGAGGCTCCCACAGCCGATTCAACGCCCTCAGCAACGTTGATTTGCCGCTTCCACTAGGTCCTATGATCCCCACCACCACTCCCTTCGGTATCTCCGCGTTGATCCATTTCAGAATCGGCCGTGAACCACCACCAACGCCGCCGCCTGCGGCGGCCGATTCCGAAATTACTGCTTCGGTTGTCAAATTGCGAATCAGGAACTTCGTTTCCACTTCACTCTCTGCTGCTTCTAAATCAATCGCTAATAGATGTTCTCGATCTTCATCTGCAAAAAATCAAAGATTCAAACACACAATTCACAGAGAGAGAGAGAGAGAGAGAGAGAGATTGGGAAACGTAGTTAGAGATCAAGAATCCAATTATTTACCTGTAGTTTTGGGGGATTCTGCTAGTTGAATGGAATCCATGGAGAGAGATGGAGTGAGAGAGGTGGGCAGAGAGAGAGTATTTATTGAGAAAGGAGGGGATAAAAGCCTTCCCCAGTAGCAAAACGATAGGATAGATCAGTCCGGATTTGTTTAAAATGGAGATGGGCTGCGCACCTAATATAAGCCCAGTTCTCGCGCGTGCACTTTTAGGAATATATCTAGGAAAATATATTTATAAAAAATTTAAATAACGATATTTATTTCATCTATTTATATTTATGTTAAGTTTATATTTTAAATTACATTTTTTATTTATTTTTATAAATATAAAAGTAATTTAATAAAATGGCTAATGATCTCTAATTGATTTAATTTTTTATAAATATATTTTATTTAATATACTTTAAAAAGTAAACGGTATAAATTATCAAAAACGAATCTTGAAATAAGCATATAAGGCCGCACAATAGTAATTGTTGTGCGGGGCATGGAAGTCACCTCATTTTCCAATTTTGTGTTCTTAGATTCAATGATCTAAATAGTTTATTTCAAACAAATTTTTATATATTCATTCCGTCTTAAAATATTAATTCCTTTTGAGAATTTAAATTTTTTTATAGTATAATTGTTACATTTTAATAATATTCAGTGTGTTTTGTTTTAGTTTTTTAGATTAAATTTTTTGAATATTGAGCTTTTTTATTTTTGTATTTTTTTGTTCTTAGTGAATATTTTTAAAATTTTAAACATTTTTACTTAGATGTATCTAAAAAATAAAAAAAATTGTGAAAAAATATTTTAAAATATTAATAAATACATAGAAATACAAAAAAATGTACTAAATTCTTGCATTTTTGGTATTTAGTAAATTTTTAAGAGATTTTTTTTACTACAATTTTTTTACTTTTTAGTTGTATTTATGTAAGATGTGTTTAAAAAATAAAAAAATTGCTTAAAATATTAAAAAAAAGCAGTAAAAATTAAAAAAAAACGAAAAATAAGAAAATAAAATTTTCTGAAAAGTGTTTTTGAAAAAATGAAACCATGCAAGCTGATTAACTTTTTAAAAGTGACTTTTGGTAGTATAATTGTCATAATTATTCTTTTTGTATATATTAATGTTAATAAATTTAAAAGAATGACAAAATAGGAAATTTATGCTATTTTAGTCCTTATTTTTTAAAATAGACTAATATTTGGAGACAATAAAAAATGAAATAAGGGACTAATATTTTGAGATGGAATGAGTAAAAATAATTTAATAATAATTAGTTTTTGTTATATTATTTTTATCTATATTTATATATGTTTAAAATAAATTATTCTTTTGTTATAATATATATAATTTAATTATATAATTATTTGTATCTGATTAATTTAATTTTATATATACAATTTTTTTTAAAAATCATCATTATATAAGTAAGATAAACGATTCACATAAGTGAAAGAATTATTAATTTCAAAATGTGCTAATTTCAATTGTAAATTTGATGTTTTGATAAAAATTTTTAAAAACTATTTTTATTTTCTGAAAATATAAAATTATATAAAAACTCTTAAAAGTTATATTTCTGAAAATATAAAATTATATAAAAAAAATTTAAAAATCAAAAAATTAGTTTTTAATTATTTTTAAAACAACCCAAACATTCCAAGAATGACGTCACGATTAAATAATGGTGTTTTAATAGTGAGCAGAATATAGAATAATTATAAAACCTGCGATTTCCAATTTGGTAGATGGGATAAGTGGAAACGAAGAAACAACCCTCCAAAAAGTGACGTCACGATTAAATAATTGTGTTTTAATAGTCAGCAGTCCACTAGTCAACATAAAAAACAGTTACAAAGTGGTGTTTTCACTTTTATTCAAGTGTGGAGATGATTTTATTTATTATTTTCCACTTTTATGCAAGAGTGGAGATGATTTTATTTATTATTTACTGATAAATGAAGTGCTCAACGAAGTGCGTGGGAGTTTTTTTTTTTTTTTCAATCGTGTTTTTTTTTTTATTATTGATTTTTTAATCGTGTTAGTGGCACACGTAAATTATTATAATTTTTTATTACATCAGAATTAATTAGAGGTGGCGAATCTAACCTAAATTTATGAATCCACTTAATTATGTTCATTTAAAATTCATATTAATCCATTCAAATTAATAAATAGATTGTTCATTGTCAAGCCAATTATAATTAAATTTACATGGGTTGAACATGAATCCATATTTAAGCCCATCTAAATGGGCACCACTTATACCATTAATTTTTTAAAATTTTAAATACATTTTTTTTAATTATAAAATTAAATTAAATAATAAAATATTTTTAAAAATATATAAAAAAATTTAAAAAAATAAAAAATATGATTTTAAAAAAATACAAAAAATAAAAATATATACATATAACAAATGTGAGCGAATTTAAATTGAATTGCTTTAAATGTATAATCCGTTCTAACCCACCCATATTCACCCATTTGCCACCTCTAGAATTAGCCATGTCTCAAGCAAAGATTACTCTCAGAGGAAAATGCTTCACATCATATATAACCCTACCATAAAATTACATAAATTTCATGAATTTACATAAATAATCTTATAAAAATACGTAAATTGAATATTAATTCACGTAAGTTCGTGAAAACTTAAAACTTACGCGAATTTCTGTTCAATTTATATATTTTTATAAAATTACTTATGTAAATTCATAAAAACTTACGTAATTTTGTGGTAGGATTGCACATTAGAGAATTTTCCATTCTCATAAAATCACGTGGCCATGTGGATTAGGCCTCGTCAGGGAATATATTTTTTTAGTAATTTTAAAATTTTTAGATTAAAATATGAGTCAAAAAAATTAAATTACCTTATTTGGTTTTGATTGATTTTCTAAAAATCGAATTTTTTGTTTTTGGTGTTTTTTTTAATATTTTAAGTAATTTTTTTACTTTTTACATGTACATAACTTAGATGCACCTAAAAAGTAAAATATTTGTGAAAAAATATTTTACAAAGAAAGCTCATTTTATAAATCCAAATTTGTATTTCTTTTGCCTAAAACTCCACACGTCAAACTATTAAGTCTATGAGGACACGCTTCTACAAAATAATCAAACTACCCATTCTTGGATCCATGTGTGTTATCTATTGAAATCAAACCCATTTTCTTATCTTTTTTCTCCACACGTCTCTCTCTATCTCTCCAATAAGCTGGACAGATCATCCGATCTGGTTTGACTCTACCATCGCTTCTGTTTTCCTTAACGTCGTTGACGAGTTGGTGTCAGCGAACCAAAACTAGAGCTCCATGGCTGGAGAAAAACCTGTCGCCACCTATCTCTACCGCACCAACGATTTACTAGAGGACGAGTTTAGGTTGTCGATGGACCAAGACTACAAGTCCTTTGATCTGACTTGATTCCAAAAATGGTGAGTGGCTTTTCTTCTTCTTTTGGGTTTGGGTCCAAGGGAGAGAGAACTCAGTTAAGACCTTGGCATTTGAGGAGTTGAATGACTTTGAATGGTTTGGAAGGTCATAAATATGTCACCGCTACTAGTTGCGACTCTAACACTAGCTTTTGTAGATTTGACGCCGCCTCTACCACGGGTGTCTCTATTTACCCACCGCATTTCATCTCAAGGCACACCAGTACTTAATTCGCACATTTAATAATTTAATAAATAATAAATTTGTTCAACAGGCACCACAATGTTTCATTTTTACCCTTAATCACACACCCCACCGTCGTCGCCACCACCACCGCCACCTGTAACCCAACTCCGTCACTGGCGCCGATGTAGCCTCTTCCCCTTCCATTCTCTTCTTCAAGCCACCATTGCAATCTGCCCTTCATCCTCCCCCACTTCAGATCTAGGGTTTCAAAGGGTAGAGATTTAGGATTTCAAAGGCGAAATGAAGAAAAAGATAAAGAAGAATTGGGGAAAGAATGGTGGGGGAAGGGTATCAGAAGAAGGGGGCTAGAGAGGGAAGCTGATAGAAGAGGTGCTGCAAGGGTGGCGCATAGGGCACGAAACTGGTGGGGTGGCGGCGTCATCATCGGCACCGGCTAGGGTTTGCAGTGGTACCATAGATCTTCCGCCCCCTTCCCATCGCCACCAAAACCCCCTTCCACAAAGCATAAGAGAGAGAGGGAGAGAGAGAGAGAGAGAGAGAAAAAGGTGCAATTTACCGGAAAGGTAGATCGCGAAATCTAAGTTGTGAGGGAGTGCTTGTGACGAAAGGAGAAGGTGAAAGAGGTCACCGTCGCCGGCTAGGGTTTGCAGTGGCACCATAGATCTTCCACCCCATTCCCATCGCCACCAAAACCCCCTTCCACAAAGCATGAGAGAGAGAGAGGGAGAGAGAGAGAGAGAGAGAGAGAGAGAAAGAGGTGCAATTTACCGGAAAGGAAGATCGCGAAATCTAAGTTGTGGGGGAGTGCTTGTGACGAAAGGAGAAGGTGAAAGAGGCACTGGCGGCTGCGGGAGAGTGCAGGAGAGGGGTTGATAACGGCAAGAGGTGGGGAAGTCACTAGCTGTGGCGGCAGTGAAAGGAGGAGCTGCTGGTTAGGGTTTCGAATGAGAGAGAAAAGAGAGAAAGTAAAAGATGATATTTTCGTAATTCTGTTTATGGACAGAATAGTAATTAAAAAAAAATTAAAAAAATGGTGTAAGATGAATAATTTAGTAGTGTGTAAATAGAGGCACCCCTCTACCACCTCTCTTGAATTCGTCCCCAGCTTCCTTTTCTCAAATCTACCACAAATTAAAGAAAATACCCATGGAAGCTTATTCTTTATTTTTGCTTGCTTTATAGATAGAAACATACTAAAAAGACTTAAAATTAATTTAAGCTAGCTAAGTTTGTATTTAGTTCTTAACAGTGGAATATGAGCTTTAAAATTGTAGGTTCTTGGCATTTCTTACATTTTTCCTGCAGCCAAACGGGCATGCTCCCACCGTCAATTGAACAAATAATTTTTTTTAGAAACCAGAAGTGTAACGCAATTAATTTGAATGAAGAGGGCAATAATTACCTCAGGCTCGTTGGCTAGAGTCCTAGCAAGTGCGACTCCTTGAGCTTGACCGACAGATAATTCACGGGGATTTTTGTTGATGAAGGAGATGGGATCGAGGTCTGCAAGGGAGAGCAATT